TCTTGAAAATCTTGTTATTGTTTAGTAATCCAATGAATTACTAAAATAATAAAATTTGAAAACAGGATTGAGGACATCGTTTTTGAAACCTGTAGTTATATAAAAACTTTCACCTGACATAAGATGCAACATAAGTGTCCAGATGTGCATCATTTCGAAAAGAAACATTCCATCAAACTGTCAACAAGGACTCTTCCGGAACATTTTTAGTTCATAAACAAGTTCGGATCTTGAACATAAATTTTAGTAAACATGTTTGCAAATGCTAAAATGTATTTAAACACCTGATTTCCAGGAAAGATACTTAGCCTCCAGAAAATATACTTGCTGATATTTAATATTTGCTTGATAAATAATTGATTAATATGTTAACAATTAGTTTTTGCATTTTCCTTGATAATCACACTGAAATGTAATTAACACTAAAACTATCAGTTGTACTCCTTATCCGTGTGTTTATAGGCTAACGTCTATCCAGTAGACTTAGTAAGAACGTAGCAACTGTACAACCAGACTTGATGGCTTATACTTGCTTTTGATGATAAAAATCTCATTCTTGATCCAGACTAAAGCTTCGTGCTACTTGTCATGTCCTGAAAATCCCAGTGATACTGATGAACAGTGTATACCTGTGTACAAAGCAACCCTTTTTGTCAGAAATATATCACACAAAGAAGAAACAGACTACAGTATACGAAAGTTTGAGCTCTGTCGAAAATCTGATGATGGCAAGGTAAGAAGCTGTATTTTCATTCTTCAAACACATTACCTAACAACATTATTTTTGGAGATCTACTACTAACTCGAACATCCATTCCTCCTATGATAAAAGGTTTCAGCTACAAAGCTAAATATAAGAACAACTAGGTGAATGTTCAAGTGATCTCTTGATACATGGTATTGGTACCAAACCATGAAATCTTACATTTATTACTCTATTTGTGCTGATTAGCAAACATTCTACAGACAGAGAAGCCTTGCAATACACATACAAGTATTGTGATTGTTTTATAACTTAAAGCTGTTGGACAAATATCCTCCCTGAATTGAAGTATACTTTATTTATTAAGTTTCAAATTTTCTTTCTTTCTTCGATAATATATTTCTGTCAATTTAGTCCTATTACTTAACCATTATCACACACTTATGTCTCGGAACCAATCTGCATGTCTCACTTGTAGATCCCTTTATATTGCTAAAGCTGTATTTATATAGGTGCGGGTCTGTGATGTGAGGTAGAAAACGTATATAATATTGCAGTAGAATTTCCGCTACAGTTGGATACAGTCTGTGCTAATCTAATGTTTGCGACCACTTTGAAGTTATATATGTGATGCGTTACAGCGTTTATTTGGACAGGTTACGACTGAGCAGTTACATCAAGTAATTGTGTTTAATAATTGATATTATAGCATCCATTAGACAGGCATGTTTCCGTGCTTTTTATATGCATTTTTTGTGTTTACTATAAAACATTTAATAATATTGTTGACAGTTTCTGCGATAATCGTATAAGTAATGGCATGTTTAATTTACACGGCTCAGGCAGTTTTACTTCGTTGTTACTGTAAACTATACTGAAATCACCTTACTTGCATGGTCTGTCAGTTGGCCTTTCTTACAGGTAAATTATTGCAATGTATAGCTTAGGATAAATGCATTTTAAACCATTATATATTGACTGTTTTATTTGCCTATAGTATGATCAAGTGTACTCTTTGGAAATATGGGGCTGAGAATCACTTTACATCACTATCTTGCTTCAGTTGCCAATCAATAAATACAATTCAACTTTCACATTGAAGATTTAAAGTGAGTGTTCCTCATTACTGGAGATACTAAATGGAAAGGTACAAAAGCATACATTGGGAGACGAGGATGTCATTAATATGAATGCTGATGTCACGGCTGTGAATGACTTTTCAACAGTTAACGCCCTCCATATGGTTTATCAGCCTCAAAACAATCCAAACTATGATGTCAGAAACAGTTTTGAACTTCTCCCTCACTCGAGCATCATGATAAACCTACCTTGGCATAACTACTAGGCCATTTAACGCATGGGCGTAACACTAATTTGCTTTCATTATCTGCCATTGAGCAAGATTCAGATCCCAACTAACCACCTCAGCTACTTTTTCACACTTCAGATGTATCTACAAGCTAACCATTACCACACTCAATCTTAATGAACTAAATGACATCGCTTCAACTGTATGGCTAAATTTCTACCACAACCGGATTCAGCTTATGGAGCTGATCACAATACAGCTATACCACAGTTGATGGTCCATGCTTATAAAGGATGATATATGTCCAGTTTGCCAGGCCCATGGATCCGTATAACTTGCATAGTATGCATAGTACTACAAAGCATGCTCAGCAGAAAATACACAGATTAGTGCCTCAGCAACCAGTGCATGTTGCTTCACTTTTCTCAAGGTTTGCCATTCAAGGAGAGCCTTCACGTATTGACCGGTTTGGAAGTCACTGTATCTCACTACCGCAGTTGATTGTACAAGCCAAGATGGAAGGCCTTTATAATATATATCGGACTGAGATTGTAATTAGAACAATCCTACCCAGATATAATTTCGCACATAATGTTTGAACCAGTTTTGTGGATTAAATATATCCTGATCTGTTCCATTAAGTGGATATTTTCACTGAGAATAACATTGCACAGTTCTGTCAAATCTGGACCCTGTTATTTATCAGATCACTACAACTCTCTACAGTTGATCTTGCCATTTATGTCAGAAGACGAGACAGGATGACTTTGTTCATTTTGCCTACTCCACACCACAAGGTACTTTCATAGATTAGCCACAGGGTAACTACATGCACGAATGGGCCTATTTAGTGATGTATCTCAACCAGAGAATCCTTCACCTATGGGTTTTATTTTGTGTGTTAGAAGACATCTTTGTCCTAGGTTGTTTTTGAAGATGTCATTACATTGAGACTATTGTGCCAATGACAGCCAAACCTTTGGTTCTTGGTATATTTAATGAATATGAGGTCTAATTTGGGTATTGGGACAGCCTCAATTTGCTTTCTTTCAGGTGGATCCATGGTAACAGTCTACGAGATAACAATTTGCACAAATGCAAGCAAAGTGGATTGGGTTGCATATCTCATTCCATGATTCATGAGGGCTAATATATTATATCTCACTCACGATCGATTGTTGCATATTAATGGCATAGAAATGAAATCCATTCAAGGGGCATTTTATTTCATTTAAAATCTTCAGTGTGGTGGATTATGTTAGAAGGCAAGGGATAAGGAAATCCCAAATCTTTTTTTTTTCTTTGGAAACGTTTCAGCTGGAGTCATCTATGACATGTGTATGGACAGGTTCATCATTTTGCAGGTTGAGTAAAACTATTAACAGAAGCAGTTTCCCCAGAAGAATCAACAAACACAAACGGACTGTTTGCATTAATCTAAGTTTTCATTTTCATATGTGCTGCAGGAATTGACAACTTACAGATGTGTTCTTGACAAGAGGAATTAAAAACTCACAACCTTTGTCTGACCAGCACCATATCCAAAGGCCAAGCTGGATGACACTATTTCCGTAGATGTGAAGATATTCAATGCATATGCTCACCATCCAACACACCCGTTTCTGAACATGATACAGTAAGCAAAGAGTCATAGAGTTGCCTTGTTCTGGTTGGTCTATTCAAGGACGAAACAAGTGTGGATCAATGATCTATGTATATTGTAATAAGCAAGCCGTCAAGACTAAATAACTCTACTATTTGGTGGTAGAGAGAACCACCCAACCAAGACAGTTTTCTTCTCTGAAAATTTCTGACAGATATGGAAAATCTTTTAAAAAATGTTGTGACGATGAAATCATTGCAATGCAGAATGCACAAATACCTCAATTAACTAACTTCCTACTATGACTCTTTGTGAAGAAACTGTTACCGCCTCAATCAAATGCTACTGTTCCATGAATTCAAATACACTCTACCATTACGGTAGAGAGGATGTTGGACCGTACCTAGACCTATTCAGGCTGTTGTACAATTTTAAAATCATAATAACGAAAGCTTTGTATCTGTGCTAAAAGTGGAATCTTTGATAATTGATGATCTATTTAGGACACTTTTTGAACCACTCTAAAATTGACTCACCTCTCACATAAGACTTACTTATTACTCCAACTAATAGTGACATAAATAATCAGTTAAATATAAACTCTATTAGTTGACTTGAACTACTTGCAGTTTTGCCAAATGGGCCAGTGTTTCCCGATTGTCATCACAGCTTTCCTTTCTAGAAGAGGTTCTCATTCATGGTAAATCTGACCTTTGCAGTGAAATCCCACTCTCTTCTGGACATGTTGGATCCAGTTTACTTGTCTCAATGTGAGCTCTAATGTGGTACTTGAAAAGTAATGGTACATTGTTGTTAAGGAGATCCTGCCTATTCTTACCAATACATAATGCAAAGTTAAGATGACAGTAATTAGTAACGGTAGCATTTAACCACTTGGTTACCCAGAATTCTGGTATTAGTAGTTTTCTTAAGGTATTATGACTGGAAAGTATAATGAAAGAAAAATATTTTACTGGAAACAATGTTTTCTGTCGTTTTTGTTCTTACATTATGTTTATATTCGTCATACTATCATCACTTAGTATAGATATGTAGCAAAATCATACAGTTGTTGGCAAGTAATGCACAATCTTTATGATCATTTCTGACCTTTTTTCTAATATATGGAAAGTTATGAAACTCGTGAAATAATGTGTTGTAATTATGATTATTTATCGTAGCATTAACCATTGTTTAGTCATATCGCTACGATGCCTGCCGTGTGGTAGATTTTAGTGATGTCTAGCACTGGGGCATCATGCCGCAGACAAGAAGCATGTTGTCCCACCCAGTCACATTATCCTGACACCAGACCGATCAGTCCCAACACGAACCTTTTAAGGCTGGCCGTCAAGCAATGCAGCTTTTAGTACCATTGTTTTGTATGTCTTTGGTATGACTCAACGGGAACCCATGACCTCCCGCATCCGAGGCGGACGCTCTAACCACTAAGCCATCGGAGCGGTCATCAAATAATATGTATGCCAGTTCTTCCAAACAGCTTTATATAGTGTAATGTTATTTAAATTGTTTAGTAAATCATGCATCATGAGCATAAATGCAATTTTAGCTGCTTTTCCCTCTTTAAGATCAGTTCCGACTTTTGTCAGTAGAGTTGCCTCAGTGTAAGAATTATACCATTGGAAATATTATTGTTGTACTAATTTGTTATCTTGCTATTTCTAAGATGTGTTGGGTAACAAGTATATGCATGCATGTTTTATACAGTGGTATATTTGCGTGTAGCTTGTTTAAAATAAATGGAAGTTAATGATTTAAAACAAAATATACAAATAGATTCTGTTTAGAAAATATTTTATGATATTGAAAAAAGCTGCACGCATTATGTTCATAGTACCAAATTTACTTCTAAATTGAGTTAGGACCTCTTTTATATTAATTTGCAATTAGAAAACAAGTGGTTCTTGATTTCTTGAGTGTTTATGTGTGTGTGTTTCTATGTGGGTGGATTATTGAATGGACGGAGGAATGGACAATTCATTCCGCTTTATGGCAGTATAACTTTTCACTTCAACATGTGGCCGTATAGCATTTTATTCTATAAAATCAGGCTGTCCAAACGTTGTTAAGAAAGTGTATCATTTGCATGTACAGTTGAATTAAAGACAATTGGACACTTTGTAATTTTGTTAAAGTTATACAATATACTATTACATTACAGTGTCCAGACATGACAATGGTGCACCTCTGCTACTGTAGCACACTTTATAGGATCCCTTTTTATTTTTGAACTGGCCAGATTATGGAGTTCCTGCAGATCCTGGTTCCGTTCTTGACTTTCTCAGTATTTTCAACGCACAGCAGCATGAAATTGCAAATGCTGGCATAATTTTAGTTTACTATAGGTCTGGTATTTTCTATCTTCTGCTTCGAATTGCCTCTTTGGTGCATAAAGCAAATGTTGATTTACTCATGAATGTATTAAGGTAAATGGAGAGGAAATGTGTCAATCTCAATAACGTTTGATTATCCAATTCATGATCAAATCATATTTGAGCATGCAGGTGACTGAAAGCCATTCACATGGCATTCAGATTTTATACAGTATCAAACCCCTATAATAGTTGTAACCTCCATATAATGGTTACCTGCTCATTAAGTTCAGATTCACTTGGTCGTGTATAATTTTTTACATGCTCTGCATGCAGCGATCACTTGATCAAGTTGGTCATTGGTCATCTAAAAAGTATGGCGTCTCCATTGAATACATTCATATTGAGATATAACTTTGATCACCCAAATCAAGCCATTTCAGAATAATAACGAATCTGTCTTATTCATACACCGCAATGACCCCAGAAATAGTACCTTTCGGAAGATACTCTTTCAGGATGTATTTATAATTCCCTTCCCTTGTTATACTAAGAAATACTCTAAGTTGCTCAGTTAATTGTTTACATTGTAGAAGCAACATGTAACAATATACATCTCCAAACATGTTCTGTTTCTTAATGTAATATCAGGAATCTGCCTGCAAATTTGATATGCTTTCAATGATTTGTATCTGCTTTATGCACTATCATCATATATTCAGCTTATGTTTTTCCTCTGTAACATTCTCTTTCTCCACTATTGTTGATTAGGTCTGTTTCAGCGAAACAAACCTAGAACACAGGGAAGTCACTTTGGATGTAGAGCACTCACCCATGAATGCAATTTATATTTTTTATCATTTTATTTTAAGATGAACTCTGTGAAATCAAAATACAATGTCATATATTTTTTAAAACAAAACAGACTTACCTGGGTACCATGAATGCTGAAACTGAATGGCCATTATGTTGCCAATAAAAGCTCATTTTCACAATGTGTGTACATCCTATAATATTTGAAGACACATCTTTTGGATTTCATAGGAATTTAGTATTATATTTATTTCCATATCGTTGATATTGTCTATTAATTGGGGGTAATTAACTTGTTGTTAAGGATCTGAAGACATCAGTTTTGGTGTTATATGTATATTTCCAGTAATGGAAGTAGTTCAGTTATACACATATCTATAAAATAAGAGATCTATACTGTTATATTAACAGAGTTTTTGATATTTTATGTAAAATTAAACATGATTGACAGTTTATATACCTCTGTTATAAGAAGTGCAAAGACTTATATATATATATATATATATATATATATATATATATATATATATATATATATATATATATATATATATATATATATATATATATATATATATATATATATATATATATATATATATATATATATATATATATATATATATATATATATATATATATATATATATATATATATATATATATATATATATATATATATATATATATATATATATATAGTTATATGTGTGTGATGTGTCGAATTGTGAAAACTCTTAGAAGTATTGGTTAAATTAATTGTACCAAAGGAGGTAGCTTCCTGAGATTCCCTAAAAATTCCTGTACCAATTCCAAGTACCAGAGCAATTTCTGAGCCAAAGTCTAAGTCTAGGGACGATCGTCAAATCAGAGTTCGACTGGCATGGGTCCAGGTCCAGACGACTAGACAAAGGTTGGCAGAGACGACAAAATATTCGATGTCCGGAAAAGATAGGTTATAATGTCGCTAATCACTGCACTCTAAAGACAACTCTCGTAGGCAATGACGAATTGAATTAATTCTGTCACTGACAAGTAATAGTAACAGCAAAGACAATTTGTATTGTTCTTTTCATTTGAGTACATTTAGTAACCATGTAATTGATTTCGTTACATTTTAAATTATGTTGTTAAACTGATTAAATTTTATATTTTTTCATTGAAATGAGGCTCGTTGTGTATATTACGTTAATTTACTTGTTCAAAGATCTGCATTCGTCTTTCTATCCATCCACACTGGGTAAATTTAACGGTGGGTGGTCATTCCCTAGCAACGAACCGTAGTGGAAGAGGTTAGCGTGTGTTGAGCGCCACCAATTTACTACATTATTAGAGGCCTCGTCCAAGGATATTTGAACAGTGGGTAACAGCAGATATGATCATATGTTGAAAGAAATACAACACCGTATCAGTGATAGATTTGTATTAGTTAAAATAAGAAGACACTAGTGTGATTTGAGTCAATATCTATGCTTATCTATGTTTGTATGATTTTTGAATTTCTTAAATGTTGCATGACATTGTAAGAAATTATGATTGTGTACCTGAAATTACTGAAGCGTTGTTGGTTGTCCGTATTTTAGTAACCCAGAAATATTTTGCCTTTGTACTCTTGCGAGAAGAGATAATTAAGGAAGTATTCCCAAGGTAATTTGCACTTGTGGTGAAAACGATACGAATTTATGGAGAATTCATAGTTTGGTATTGCCCGAAAACCGTCTAAGTTATTTTTGTGATTTTAAGTAATCATTTTACTGAGTTAGTATACTTGTTGATATTCGTAGGGAAGTTATTTTCTTGAAGGCAGAAAACAGGTTAGTGATAACTAAGTACGTGAGTTAGAGACAAGACCAATATACAAGAATGGCAACTATAAGGCAATTAGCTAAGGAATGTAAAGCTTTTGGATCTGAATTAGGTTATGAAGGGACCCAGTTAGATGAAGTTGTAGAGCGCAGTCTCAAAGAGTACAGAGAATAGCAGGAGTCCAAAAGGAAAAGAAAATTGAGCTAGCCGGGAAAGAAAAGGAGAAAGAACTTGAGTTTGCTAGACATCAGGCCGAAAGTGAGAGATTGAAAGCCGAGGAAATGAATATAGAGAGAGAACATGCGATGGAAAGATTAAGGATCGAAGCGGAATCTAGAAGAGGAGAAGAACTGAACGTACATGTAGGACCCTCAAGCAGAAGAACTGAGGATAGACGTACCCTCCAGATAACAATGCCAATGTTCACAGACAAGGATGAGATTATTTATAACGTTTTAACTCAGTTTGAAAAGTTACATTAGATACATTAGATACCCAAAGAACGTTGGGCTATTAACATTTCGACATTTTTGGAAGGTGCTGCCAAGGATATTTGTCATAATCTGGCACCCGGTGAAATAGATCATTACGAAGCTCACAAGAAAGTGCTCCTACGGCACTATGATATGACAGTTGAACGTTTCCGTAAACTTTTCAGAGTCATATAAGAAAACCACAGAGACTCACGCGCAATGTCATATTCGCGTACTCGTACTTTTCGATAAGTGGATAAAAATGTCAGGAGCAGAACTTACGTACGAAGGCATACGGGAAGAAATTCTAAAATAACTTGTCCTCAGCACATACCGGAAAGACCTAATTGTATTTATATACCTTAGAAGACATTAGCGTAATGGCCGAGCGATATGAAGCTGCACACTCTCGTCCAATCACATGGAGTGGCAGGGATCGAGTCAGCGTCCCAGACTTTAGGAGAGGTATTGGTTTACCACCTATTAGGCGGAAAGTCAAATGGTGGGAAGCCAGGGATTGACAATTCCAGCCGTGATCACTTCCTGGGCTCAGGTAAGTCCCAAGGGGTGGGCAAGTAGGAAAGAGGAAATTGTGTGTTATGGCTGTAACAAACCCGGCCATATTCTTAAAAACTGTAGGATATACCGTCTCACTGTAAATGTTGTGACCCTAAATACTAGTAAACAGCCTAATCTAGTTGAGTGGTCCAATACCGCAACAGCTACAGTAAATGGAGTAAAAGTTAATGTGTTGTACGACACAAGCTGTAGTTATCCAGCTTTGGTGGATTGCAGGTTTGTTAAACCTGATGATTATATAGGTAAGGCAGTAGAGGTCCAATTTGCTAATAAGAGTATAGATTCCCTTCCAGTTGTTTATATCATTCATGTTAAGCCCTATGTAAAAGGACAAAGTCAATCAGCGTGCTTGTCATGGTTGTCGCATGACGTTATTTTAGGATGTAGGTATGTATTGCCGCAGCCTAATCCTATGACGTGTACACCAGTACACGTGGGGGTCTGTAGATACTAG